GAAGATGGGGGGGGGGGGGGCGGGGGGGCTGCACATAGTATGCGTTAAAGCGAGCGTACACTGCAATCCCGTAAATGAAATGAGTAGAGTTTTAGGAGAACTAATTGTAATATGCCACTTCATGCACCAGTAACTTATCTGGTTAGGGTCAGTTTGTAGAGAAAACTGATAGTAAGCTTAGACACAACATCGTAAATCACGCAGTCATCTACGAACAATCGAATGCAGAACAATATATGAGAGGGGAGTTCATTTACAAAAACTAATAATAAAATTGCGGCGCACTGAGTGTGACTCGTTAAAAATTCTGAATTCCACGATGTTATCGCATAAGGCAAAGTTGGTTTAGCTTAAGAATGAGTAGCCTAGGGGATACCTCCTCGAATCCTTTAGAAAAATCAATAAATATGGCATCAGTCTGTGCGATATTATCTAGGTTACTGTGTATTTCAAGAACAAGCTGAATCCAGTAGTGATTCAGCTTGATTCAGCAATTGAAAACCATACTATTTTTTGTTTGCTTCACGGCGTTTTAATGTATTATGTTATCAGGAAGTTTGCATTGGGAACTAGTAAGAGAAATGTGACGATAGTAAGAGCATACATTTCGATCGCCTGATTTGTAGATAGTAATGACTGAGCTAATTTACAGTCCATGACAAGGTGATAAGAACACAAAGATTGTTTCAAGATATGTAATAAAATATAAGTTTAGTTATAATATCTAATGTTGAGTAGTTTGAAATTAATTTGCTTATCTTCTGAACACGATTAGTGTATTAACATTTATGTAGTGTTGCTCATATCTAAAGCGATTTCAATAACATTTATAGAATAATGATGTAAATTGTTAACATAAGACTTGATGTTGCAAGCATCTGCCACAAAACGGAGCTGAAGAATTTATTAAGTTTAGTGGGACTTTGCTCGTGCGACAACAGTATACCGCCATCACCACATGGCGGCAGCTGAAGAACTGCTTCATGACGTAGCACTCAATGTAACAGCCCGAGCACGCAAGACCAACAAATTATTATCGAAATACCAGCTTGACCGTGTTTCAAAGCTCCTGAAGTCCATGGAAATTAAATGTGCAACTGCGCCGCTCCTACTTTTTGTGCAGGCATGTGCAAAACGCTCACTTTCAATTTCTAACACGCAGGTTTGGTCAAACCACATACTCGCTGAACTGTTACATATACATCCCGTACAACAACGAGAAGATCTGACTTGAAAATCTTGTAAACATCTCAAAAAATGTCTTCTTAGGAAACGAAATGTTATACATAGCCCTCGATAAGGTATATTGCCGAGCGCACAGGGTCACGAAATGGCTCTCGAGCTGTAGCAGCTGCCTCCAAACACCGCGTCTCTCGAGGTTGTTTTGTTTTTTTAGGCACCGCCAAGGCCCATGTCAACGACTCTCAAAAACATTTCACTGTAAACTGAGGAAATTTCACCCTTTGCTACAAGATCAATAGCAAATCTTGTTTTGTGAAGTATATTGTGACACGACACGCACTCGTGTGCGTCGTGTGCAATTTTGTTCCTCTCTGTTGCCTCTTACTTTAAAACAGCGCAAATCTTGTTCCATAGCTTCAAGACTTTAGATAGATACCAATTTTTGTCGACGAGGTGTCACTGCGCACGTAAGTACGTGTTGTTGTTTTCGACCCTTTGACCGCTAGATTTTAGGAGAGGAGCCTTCATTGTTACATATGAAAGAAATCCGCCTTTTGTTATTCAACCGCGGAAGGTCCAAGAGACCTGCATCTCTTTACTGGTCATTGTTTGCTCGATCGTTGTACATACTTCTAGATTTATTTATTTTTATTAGCTGAGTTGCAACATCTGCCCTTGTGAATAACCCAAATTTAACGCCGTGTGGTAAGCGCTAGTGCACGTTGTTTGCTTGTTTAAAGGCATTTCCATAAATACAAAGTGGAAAAACAAATATTGGTAAACACTTAGGCTACCCGTAAGGTGAATCAGTGCGACAGCTGACCTGTGACATCAGAGTCACTAAGGAGTCATTTCGTAAAAAATGAAATGAATGATCGATAAAGGTGCGATTGCGCACCATAGAGTCCGCCTAGGCGTTTCGTATTAAACCGAGTAGCATACCAGACGAAATTTCCAAAGCTTATTTTGGTCAAATTTATTGGACAAAAACGGAGACTGTTTTGTGGTAATTGAGGAACACTTTGAAAATCACGCGCCCAAGTTTGAAATCCAGGGAACGACGAAACTGCATGTGTATGCATGAACCGTTCCCTGTCGTTGGTGCGGCTGTCTGAACGTCTTATGGTGAATTCCGCTCGCAGATCTCGAGCGCTCCAAAAGCGCTCCATTTGGAGCGCGCATATTCAGCTCGCAGGTCTGGCTCAAGTTGGTCATCTTCCGCTCGTAGATCTCTGGCAGCGCCCGCTCCAAGGAGCGCCCCAACCTCCGCCGAACTTGCTCTGCGGAGTTTCACAGATCTCTCCGGAAGTTGACAGAGCGGCCCACGTGATATCCGTCTAATTCGGCGGTGCGCATGCGCGGCGAGGTTGGAGAGATCGGCGGGCCGGTCGGGTCGTAGAGTTGAATCTGTTCGGGTGCGTCGGTTGTTTACTCTGGACTGTGACGGCTCCAACGCTTCTACTTCGCGTAGATCAGGGATAAAAAGCCGGGAATGTGGAGCGTGGCAAATCGTAAGCGCTGACTCTGTGATCGCGAGAGGAAGAACGAGAAAAGGAACAACAGAAAAGCCGGAGGCAGACGCAAGGTTAGGCCTATTCATTCTGCAGCCAGTGATTGTTTACCTTTTTGCACTGCATTCCGTCGGCGTTTTCCCGTGAAATAAAGCAAGAAGTGGTTAGGCAACGACCCCGCAAGTGATGGTTTGTTACCTCTGTGTTTGTTAAAGTCGTACTACAAATCTGAACTCCACCGCTGGCAATCGCTGTCCGTGCCCGCCGCTTCGAGGCGGCCGAAAGGTATGTGACGGTGCCGAACGCGGACGTCTTCGTTATTTGTGACATGTGCGCCGTGGTACGTATAATTTCGCCCGGTCTATGTCGCGTGTTACTTCTGCAGCTAAGCAGTGACAGACGTCACTGGTCGTCGGAAAGATTAGCCGGTTGAGGCGTTGGTGGGACTGGTCAAGTTCGAGCAGCGGCCATTTTGTACGGCGGAGGGAAAAGGGGTGGGAAGGGGTGTGGGGGAGGTCGCTCCAAAAATGCAAGTTTATCTTCCCCTCGTCGATTCGGAGCGGGTCCCACGGAGCGGAATTTTGCCTCCCTCGCGGATTTTGGAAAGCGCTCCAGATCTACGAGTGGAATTCACCATTAGGCAATGTTATTGTACACAAAATAACACCCCGTTTTGGTCACTGAAGAACACTTCCAAAATCGCGCACGCACTCGAGTTTCGAGCGTGTAGCTCCACCCATTTTCACGCCCGTGGTTTCGCCGGCTTAACATCCACCTATAGTCGGTTACTGGTTAAGAAGGTAGCGGCAAATGCCCCTCAAAGGGAATCATATATTCCTCCGCCACCTCCGTATTCAATAGCGTCCCATCCTTTCCGTAACGTCGCGGCCAACGCGCGAGGAGGGTCTTGCCTTTTGTACATATACTTGCTTTATCTTTCGACTTTCACTTAGCATTGTGGAAGCCACGAGAGGGAGATTAGAGTTTTCCCCCTCCAATGGAAACAAATACGACTTTCGGGGATTAGCTTCCCCCTCCGATAGATACAAAGGCTGCTTTCAGGGGCTCGGTTCCCCCTCCAATGAATACAAAGATCGCTTTCTTAAAAATTGGGATCGGAAACAAGCGTTTCCAGTGAACTCCTCTTACAACTGCGGAGAGATTCGAAACGGGCGCATCACGCTTTCGGGGAGAGCTTCTCCTACCTTCTTGACTTGTAACCGACTATAGCTTTATTGGTTTTATCGCCCGAAAACCTTTCTGGCACAATTAGCGAAAACGCTTCATTTTTTTTTAATGTTTCCATTATCAGCAGTCTCATGCTTATGTTTCTACGTGCCGTCGTGGTGTCACGTGATGACGTATCGTCACGTGACGTCATGACATCACGTGACTCACAGTGCCACATGAATTCATTATGTCGCTTGGCGACACTGTGCAACGTGACTTGAGACGATACTGTCAGGTCGTGGTGTCAGCCGGTGCCAGGTAACAGGGGGCGTGATGCGCGGCGTGACGTCAATGTGGAATCTTTTGGAGGAGTGCCAGAAATGGCCCGCGTCCATATGGAGTGCGGTCGACGGCGCGAAACCAACGCAATATCTCACTAACTGCTATCGCAGTAAAACGCTTGCAGGTAACTTTGCTCGAAGTCACGTTCTGCTGAATTTTCGTGGTTTCACCTTTTTTTTAGCACTGCATTAGGTGGATGATCTAATAGTGTTTAGATAACATAACATCACCGTCTCTAAAAAGACAAGGCCTGAAGAGATAAATGTGCGCTCATTCTACAGCGCGGCGTCTTGTACTACGTACTCTTTGCCTTTTGTTCCGGCAGATTGAAATATTTGACAACTAAATCGTGGTTCATAATATTTTATAATGTTTTTTAAACTTATCACAGGCTTACTTACTTCTTCTTATTTAATCATATCTAAAATCAGGCTCATATTTTCGTGTATAATTCTTGATCTCTAAAAATTAACGGAAACATTTATTGTCAACGTCACCATGGACAATGGACGGAAACATTTATTGTCAACGTCGTCATTTTCCTGGAAGGTGGCGAACACTTTCCAGGAAAATGCATCGAAATTCGGGCTGACGCACCGTTATTCAACATTTACTCATACGTGCAAGAATGCTGGGCTAGCATTGTCCTGTCTTTTTGGTTCGGGACGCAACGGAATCTTTTTGTTCAAGTGTCGCATCTCTACTCTAGCACAATGAATGCTGCTGTAGTTCAGGTTGGCGAACCAAGACTATATAAGTGGCCATGCACTTTTCTATACTTCAAAGACATCCAAGATGGCGAAATTCTTTCGATGCCTGCGTCTCGCAGTGGCTGTGGCTGTTTTTACAGAAAGCTTTGGTGAGCATAAGTTTCTATTTACTATAACTAGAGACACAGAACAACAAAACTAACGACAAATAAGCGAAGCTTCAAATTATTATATGGTTTCGAGGTTAGGATTGTTCCTGGGGTTTTCGGCAAGTTCTCTAGGTATAAACACTCGCCAACTGAACATTAAATGCCTTCTGCTAAGTAGTATATGCATGTTAACCATTCCTTGCATAGAAATATATACTAATCCCTTAACTTGTCAAAATTATTTGCACAATTTTTATTTAACAAGATATTTTTAGTAAGCGCATGTTCTTGCCCGTTTAAAAACAAAAACAAAAAAAAAAGAACAGGGTACGCTTCTGTTCATGGAACTCTCGAGGTATTTGATTTGCAGTGATGTGATTACTCTGAGGCTTTTTGGAGTACGTTTTGGAGCAGCAAAATATGCAATCTGGAGCACCAAAAATAACCTGTGGAGCCATTTTGATGAATTAGCCGAAACTGGGGCGAGAAAACTAGAAGTAACGACCGTGGAGGAGAAAGGTGACAAAGTCTTCAGCTCAGCTAAACATTTATTCAGTAACCCTCTGTTATATGCATCCTTCCCCCAAGGTTGCCACCCTTTCCACACAAAAAGTCAAACCCTTTCTTAACTTCTGTGTAAATAGGGTCGCGACATTCGGAGTTAGAGTCCATAAGAGCAAAACAGAGACCGAGCGGCACATTTAATTCTTACATCGTTTTGCATGATCATCATCGAAACTTACGTGGCTATATATTCAGCCAGAAAGAGTTACTATATTTCACTCTTACGCACTTAGTAAAGGTGTTTCTTGCTACCGCTGCTAGCAGATTCTTCTTGGCATCTGGTTGGCCAAAAGGGCACGTCAAGCCCTATTTCTGCGTCTGGAACACGCTTTGGCTCTGCCCGCTACTCCCATTGACGAAACTCACTCTATACACGGCTCTGCGATCGGCCACTGCACTATACCAAATGGTTGACATACAAAAAAAGTAACTGCACTGTACCAAATCTTTTTTTTTATATATATGAAAGGCTAGTGACGTCACTCCCCACGTCGCAAGGTGCTGTCGCCACTGCAGTTTACGCAACTGTAATCTTTACCAGGAAACGTTTACGGTGAGCGCTACGTGCTTCGCGTTGTTATCAGGAGCGCCTTATCATCAAATATGTGGTTCGGATATTTGTTTTCTGCTTGTTCTTTACTTAAACGAATGTTGTGCCGTATGTTTTATGCGTAATATGCACTTTTCGCCCCGATCACTCAAGCTTTTTTTTTTTTTCCTGAGGACGCCGACACGAAGGTATTCAATCTACGAGTCATATACAGCTTCGCTGTAAAATCTTTCTGCATTCCATCATATATGCTAGCCAGTCTTATTTTTTACCGAAATGAAGACTTGTTAAGCCGTCACGGCTTTTAGTTTTAATACATTCGACGCTTAGGTGCGTGTACGCCATACTGCTATGGAGGAGTGATTTCCTTTTAGAACGTAGGCGTGCTGCGGCGAACCAAAATACGCAACATCGCCATACCTACACTACAGTCCTCGTCTCACTGCAATGCACGAGAGCGCGGCTAGCAGCGCACTCAACAAAGCTAGCTAACCTAGCTGCCAGAACAAATAAAAACAATTATAAATATTGCGAGACCTCCAAGTGCTGTAAGCGTTTGACACAGAGATCAAATCGAGTAGTATGCTGTTTGGAGCGATAATCAAAAGTTCTGAAAATTCGCACAAGCCTACCGGAACGATCCGGCTGTGGAGCAGAGCCTGAGCTCTTATATATATTTAGTAAAATAAACTGAAATTATGCTTTGGCGTTTCTAGGAGGAGGGAAAGGAAGAATGGGTGAATCCCAGCCCTTCTGTCCCGTTCCTCCTTTCCCTCCTCTTGAACAGGTTCGAATGGGTTCTCTCCCCTGTAGCGTTGGCTGTACTGCACTGTTTTAGCGAGACTGAGTATAGACTGAAGGCCTGCTGCATTTGCGAGAAAAAAATTAATTGATTACTTGGAAGAAATGACCTCTGTAGTATTGTCATAATCATTTGAAGCTCGCAGGTGAAATATTGATGAGTAATAAATGCTTTGGCCCAAAATGTTTCCGGGCTTTTCGATAGGTGGCGTCCGTATGTTCCCCCGTCTAAGGTCCCTCTATACTGGAAAGGTAGCGCCATCTCTCCTCCTCGCCCTTTACGTTTCTCTCTTTCTCTCTTTTTGGCGCCGCGCGCGCCGCCTAGGGGCTACCAAGTAGGAGAACTAGCAGACGACGGCCGTGTCCTCCCCGCGCATTCAAAGAGCACAATCTTTCGCGTTGCGTGTTTGAAAGTGGAGGTTTCTGATACATTCTCACATTGCATAATGCCGAGCAAGTGTTAAACACCAAGAAAGAATGAGTTAAACGTGACGGCAGCGTTTTCAACCTTCGGATAAAGCTCACAGAACTGAGTACGTAGAAAATAGAACACAGCTTTATTTCCACGAGTAACAATGCAACGATATGGTTCTCACGTGTGTGGTAAGCACCGTCATTATCTGTGATTAAATGCGTAAAAAAGCCTTCATAATATTCGGCCCCACATAATCGCGAGAATTTCTAGATCCTGCAGTCTTCCACGAGGTTAACGACTACAAGCGTGAATTGCGATTGCTGCTGCCTCCGTGCTAAAAAGAGCTTGAAACGCTATAGCAGTCATACCGTAGATAAACATGCATGAGCTTTCGAGGACGCCGGACTATTGCGATCATTACTGTCGATCTGGTTTTGACCGGGGCCTTCCGAAATTCGGGCGACTGCGTGTATAGCAGGTCTAGTTTGTCACTCGTCGCTCTTCAAATTCGTTTCCTTTTTTTTTTTTTTTTGAGGGGGGTTGGGGGGAGGGGGGGGGGGGGTACGGTTGACGTTGATGCAGTGCTACTGTATTCCGATCTGTAAAGTCCTTCTGTACTTACGAATTAGTGGTGTCGGCTGACCATACTACTGCAATACCGTTGGAAACTAGTGTTCCTTCGGTTGTACCGTAACTTCAAGAACTTTTTTAGGTTTAATGAATTTTACCGTTATTTGCCATAAATAAACATAAGCTGCACAAACTATGTAAAAAAAAAAAAAGATCGTGACGCATTATTCATATGATGCATTACATAGCATCACAGTTGGAAAGTTTTGCCTCCTTTATATTTACTAAAAGTAAAAATATCCAACTTTGGTTTTCGTCATTACCAGAATGGGGGAAAAAATTGCAGAGAAAAGGCAACTGACTCGAGATTAAAACATGTGGCATATATTTATTTTCAAATAACCACAGACTACCATAGCCAAGACATCAGTGAATGGAAGCACTTATACACATGCTCAGATACAATTTTTACAACAAAGACAATAGATGAACAGTTATTAAAAGGAGTCACTAAACAAATCTAACAGACAAAACATAAAATTATAAAAAGGTCTCACACTAGCCAGTTTTAACAACAAAGACAGTACACAAAAGTATTATTACAAAAAAGCCTCATCTGAAATTTATGTATACAACACTAATATATACATATACAACACTGAATCTTTACAAGAGGTTTAAGGGGAGACTGACAGTGTACTTATGCTCGCCAAGGTTTTTATTTATACATGGCATATGAGAGCTCAACTACCCAGAACACAATTGGTGACTCAAAATACATATTCTTTCTACCTGAAAACGGCATATCAAGAACTCGCCGGTGTGATTCACACTCACTCTCTTCTCCATGGTCAAGTGCCAAGACCTGTTCGCGTGCTGCAGTTCACGGCACAGCAACCAGGCATATCGGCCGTTCGACAACGCAATCCGTGGCGAAACGCGAAACGGACATCCAGCTACAAAAAGAAACGAAAAGCTACACTACCATCGACAACAGCAAAACTGGCACGAACGTCTAAGCAAGTCCGGATCTGTCCGACGCAACGCGAGTCCGGTGTAGCTTGCGGCGCAGCTGGCGACGAGACACACGAGACACGGGAAAATCTGCTGGCTGGATCCTTCATGGCTGCCAAAGGGGCGGAGCGCTAGGAGAAGGTCACGTGCCACACACCGGAATACCGCTGAGCTCAGCGGCATGATCAAAGGTTGTCGCTACTTTACGGGTATAGAGGGGCTTTACCCCCGTCGTAGGCGGGCCAAACGCGGTTGCAACGCAGTCGATCTACTCAAACGCAAAGGTGTGAACCAGCTTTTAGGGCGATAGGGTCGTGTCATTTCTGTGGCAGGATGCGTGCCCTTCCTCAGGAGCAGGTGAAATATGGTACCCCTTGCCTTGAGCTCCTTGGCTTTGACCAGCGCAAAGGCCTTACTTTGGTTAAGCTTATTGCTTCGCATTTTTTTCTTTCTTTGAACAGCACATGCATGTACTCGTTAGCTTGATGCAAGCAAATAAGCACTCGTAAAATAAGTCTTTGTGCGTCTGCTTTCCCGCAAGGCCTCTGGTGGATCATCTGCCAAAATCTATAAAGTGCTAGCGAATAACGAGTCTGGGAATTGGGTTTGGTTGAGAAACACGATCGGTCTAAAGCAAGATTCATGTTTTCACGCATGTGATATACCGTCAGAAAGAGTAGGGCTTCGACCAACCATGTAATCGCACCTCTCCCTTCTTCTAATATGTCCAATCATACCCGTTCCCTTTCGTTGACTTAATACGCTACATCAGTATTCATCTCCCCTATCCAAAGAGTATTTTTTATTTATTTATTCAGAATACCTCGCATCGCCTTACAAAGGCATTATTGCGAGGGAGGGGTACAAATACATTTGAGAAAAAGTACTAATGTACAAAGAGTACAAAAAGCGCGAGGCCGAACATGAGATAATAATATTAGATGTTTTTAGGTTTATGAGGCATCACTTAACACATACTTGACGACAGAAGTGGCAGAAGTTGTGGAAATTATTTCCTCTGGCAGCGAATTCCAGGTGCACGCTCCGCATAGAAAGAAGGTGTATTTAAACACATTCGTTCTACATTTATACTCTCGCACTTTTTTCCAGTGATCACGCCTTCCTGATGAGTAGTGAGCAGGCAGCATGTACTTAGATTTGTCAATGCCGAGATAACTATGAAAAATGCTGTAGTAAAATTTTAGCCGCATAGACCGCCTTCTCTGGAATAATGGAATTAAATCAAGTTCTATTTTTAGTGGAGTCACACTTTGTCCAAAGTTATAATTACTCTATATAAAACGAGCTGCTCTATTTTGAACTGCCTCCAGCTGGTTGACAAGCTAGGCCTGGTGGAGGTCCCAGGAGACACAGGCGTACTCTAAAATTGGTCTAATATAGGTTAGATACAGTGTTCGTTTGGTAAACTTGGGACAATCTTTAAATTTACGTCTAATAAATTTCAGCATTCTGGTCGCTTTTGTGGATGTGTAGTCCACGTGTTTGGCCCACGAAAGGTATTCTGTAAAATATACACCGAGGTATTTGACTTCAGAAACTGTTGGTAAAGAAATTTCGCTGATAACGTGTTTGAAGGCGACAGGCTGTCTCTTGCGCGTGAAACATACATGATTACACTTGGTTATGTTCAAAATCATTCCCATTTTTCACACAAGGCGGAGACACGACAGATATCTTTCTGCAAAGCCGAGAAATCGGAAGTGCAGGGACAATCTGCGATTGTGCGGATTGTTCCTGCGCGAATCGGGTTTTTGAACCAAACGAATTTTTGTGGGTGGTCATTTTCTAAATTTTTTCCGCTGATCACGAATACTGGTTCAATAATAAGCGGCGTGCAAATTGTTTTAGAGCATAATTAGCTTAATTTCTGGCCAAATTATGCCTTTCTGGTATGCCATTGAAAAGTCTACGCTAGTAACACAGGCTTCATATAAAGAGATGAGATAATCCACCAACCAAAAATTGAAATAGTAGCGACCCTACGTTTCGAAACCGTTCGTTTCTTCGTTGGCGGATTATCTTATCTCTTTATTCTTTACCCAACCAGAGAGAATTCTCTCAAAGATGTTTACCTTCAGGCTTCATATAGTTACATTTTATTTGTTTGCGGTCATATGTAGAACATTGGGGAATGCATTCTTGTTCTATTGATACCCTGGACAACAGTTTAACGTGCGCACTAGTGTCATGAAAATGTGAAACCACTGGGAAGCGCAACTAAGCCTTCTTAGTTTTTGTCACCAAGCCTTGACAAGGAGCTCTAGCAAAAGTTATCAGGCTCCACTGGATACAACCAATTAGTGATCCACTATGTAGTTACTTTGACAGTGTACTACGGTTTCTTGCTTTCCGTTCATTTAGTTACAATGAATGCCATCGATTTCAGTTAATGTTTCACCAGAAATAAATAAGAACAAACTACGTATGTACAAAAGTGAGCGTTTATAAGATCGTCTATTGATTTCACGTATACACTTGTACCCACGCCCTCGTCAACGTTTTTGTACGCAGGTTATAACCAGGATCTTTATGATGTGTGCAACGATGCTCCACCTAAACCAGGCAATTGCAGCGAGCGCAAACCCAAGTTTACTTTCAACATATACTTGAAGCAATGCCAACTCACTTATGTCTGCGGCGATTCTGGCACTAAGAATATCTTCGACACTAAACAACAATGCAAGGAAACCTGTCCGATTGGTACGTATCATATTCTACAAAGTAATACTTCCCCCAAGAAAATTTAAGAGTGGCAACATGTGTGCCTTGAAACATCTGACGAATTTATTTTTTTCAAAAGCTCGACTAAAATAATGGTTAATAGTAAACTATATGAACATAAATTTATCCGTGCCTTTTACACATAATAAAATGAACTAACGCTAACTGCCTTGGCAACGCTCAAGCGTAAACAAACAGAGACAAGAAAATTTGTTTTTTTTAAAACCAAGGCTCAAAAGCTCTTACTGAACAATCTACTGCCTATGATTATTCTAAATAACTGCTCAAAACATATAACGCTTTAGACTGTTTAAATTAACTGTACGAAATAATTCACTGCCTGAAACTCAAAACTAAAAATATATATAAACAAAATTCTGAGGGCACACACTTTTTATGAGTTGTGAATGTGAAAGCATGAACGTCGTTGTCCCGCTCCCTTAGCTCGTCCCCGGCGTAGTGGCGTGGACGGCCACGTTTCGCTACTGCCGAGCTTGCGGCCGACGGCCGAGCGCGCACTCTTCTGAAGTGGCCGCGCCGCGCTGAGCTCGGCCGTGCAGCCTATCCGGGATGTGCCTGGGCAGGCTCTGCCAACACCACCTAGACAGAAGGCCTCCGCATGGTCTCCTCTCCTTCTATGAAACGTAATCAGGTCGGATCGCGCTAACTCGGCTACTGGGCGTGAGCCCGACATTTGACGCGCTAATTGGACACGAGCCCCGGCCGAAGACTGACACAGCACTCGTGCCCAAATCTCACGCCTCGATCGATCTGACTCTGATGACGAGTGCGGAGGCCTTCTCTCTTGGTGGTGTTGGTTCTGCGGCCGGCCGCTCCCTCTCATCGGCGGCAGGGGCGCTGCGCCGCCATGGAGCTCTGCGGGGTGGCGTTCCTTGGAACTACGCCCCACAGCAGCCAATGGGATCCTCGTTTCTTGGAACCACGCCGCGCAGCAGCCAATGGGAGCCTATCCATCAAATCGCGGCTACGGACGACAGGTTTCGCTTCATTGGAACAGGGGATTTTAGGTGCCGTTTGGCGCGGCTTCAAAAGTTGATGACGCCCTTTCGCTCCATGGGATAGTTAATTCTTTCGCATTAAAATAAGTAAAACTTGATATTTCTCAAAAAGAAGCGCTCGAGAAAACTTACCTTTTTCTGCCAGCGCTTACTATTGACTGTTTGATAGCCTCTACCCTAGTACATTGAATGCTGTCGTAGTTCATGTTGGCGAACCAAGAGTATATAAGTGGCCATACACTTTTCTATACTTCAAGATCATCCAGGATGGAGAAAGTCTTTCGATGCCTGCATCTTGCAGTGGCTGTGGCTGTTTCTACAGAAAGCTTTGGTGAGCATACGTTTCTATTTACTATAACTAGAAACACACAACAACAAAACTAACGACAAGTAAGCGAAGCTTTAAATTATTATATGGTTTCTGGCTTAGCTTTGTTCCTTGGGTTTTTGCCAAGTTCACACTCGCCAACTGAACATTAAATGCTTTGTGTTGAGTAGTATCCGCATGTTAACCATTCCTTGCATAGAAGTATATACTAAGCCCTTAACTTGTCAAAATTGTTCGCGCAATTTTTATTTAACAAGATATTTTTAGTTAGCGCATGTTCTTGCCTGTTAAAAAAGAAACAGGTACGCTTCTGTTCATGGAACTCTCGAGGTATTTGATTTGCAGTGATGTGATTCGTCTGAGCCGTTTTGGAGTACGTTTTGGAGCAGCAAAATATCCAATCTGGAGCAACAAAAATAACTTGTGGAGCCACTTTGATGAATTATGCGAAACTGGGGCGAGAAAACTAGATGCAACAGCCGTGGAGGAGAAAGGTGGACAAAGTCTCCAATTCAGCTAAACATTTATTCAGTAACCCTCTCTTATATGCATCCTTCCCCCAAGGTCGCCATCCTTTAAACACACAAAAGGTAAAAACCTTTCTTAACCTCTGTGTAAAGAGGGTTGCGACATTCGGAGTTAGACTTCATAACAGCAAAACAGAGATTGAGCAGCACATTTAATTCTTACATCGTTTTGCATGATCATAATCGAAACTTCACGTGGCTATATTTTCAACCACAAAGAGCTACTATATCTCACTCTTACGCACTTAGTAAAGGTGTTTCTCGCTACCGCTGCCAGCAGATCCTTTATGGCATCCGGTTGGCCAAAAGAGCATGTCAAGCCCTCTTTCTGCGTCTGGATCACGCCCTGGCTCTGCCCGCTCCTCCCATTTACCAAACTTTCTCTATATATACGGCTCTGCGATCGGCCACTGCACCATACCAAATGGTTGACACACAAAAAAAGTAAATGCACTGTACCAAAACGACATCTTGTAAACCCTGAGGTGGGTGTACAAGATATCGATTAATTATCAGCTCGCCTGCACTCTCTCACTGCTTACAATTGTACCAAAACCTTTTTAATATACAGGGTGTCACAAAAGAAAATTTACACGGTTTTGTTTACCGCAAAAATAAACTAGGCATCGCAGAACGCTCATTCTCTGCCCAAATGTAGAGCTAGAGGTCACAACCAGATGCCAAAGTTTCAGCCCGATCTGATGACTTAATCAAAAGTTATTAGTTATTTTCTAAAAATTTCAATGGGAAAATGGCGGCCGACGGAGTTTTCAAACACATGGGGCTCTATGGCACCAAAAACCGAAAACGGGCAAAAATGGGCTCCATTTTCCCATTGAAATTTTCAGATAATGACTTACAACTTTTGATTAAGTTGTCGGATCGGGCTGAAACATTGGCATCTGGTTGTGACCTCTAGCTCTACCTTTGGGCGGAGAGTGAGCGTTCGGCAATGGCTAGTTTATTTTTGCGGTAAAAAATACCCTGTAAATTTTCTTTTGTGACACCCTATATATGAAAGGCTAGTGACGTCACTCCCCACGTCGCAAGGTGCTGTCGCCGCAGCAGTTTACGCAGCTAATCTTTACCAGGTTTACGGTGAGCGCTACGTGCTTCGCGTTGTTATCAGGAGCGCCTTATCATCAATATTTTGGTTCGGATGCTTGTTTTCTGCTTGTTATTTACTTAAACGGATGTTGTGCTGTATGTTAATGAGTAATCTGCACTTTTCGCCTCGATTCCTGAAGCTTTATTTTTTTTGTGTCAGGAGGCCAACACGAAGAAGTTCAATCTACGAGTCATATACAGGTTGGCTGTAAAATCTTTCTGTGTTCTACCATATATCCTAGCCAGTCTTATTTTTTACCGAAAGGTAAATTTTTTTAAACACACATGGCTTTTATTTTTAATACATTCGAGGCTTAGGTGCGTGTATGCCATACTGCTATGGAGGACTGATTTGCCTTTAGTACGGAGGCGTGCTGCGGCGAACCAAAATACGCAACATCGCGATACCTACACTGCAGTCCTCGCCTCACTGCAATGCACAAGAGCCCGGCTAGAGGCGCACTAAACGAAGCTAACTAACTTAGCTGCCAGAACAAATCACGAAAATTATAAATATTCCGAGACCTCGGAGTGCCGTGAGCGTCTGACACAGAGATCAAATCGAGTAGTATGCTGTTTGAAGTTCTGAAAATTAGCACAAGCCTACCGGCACGATCCGGCTGTGTAGCAGAGCCTGAGCGCTTATATATATTTAGTAAAACATAAATCGAAATTATGCTTTGGGGCAATGTTGCAGCAAGTGCATTACATGTTTTGCCGAAATGTAGCAAAATGTAGCAGGGTAAGCATTTCGGCGCAGGTTGGGGCAAATGGCACAGAAATCACATCACTGAATTCGGCCCATGTAAATGCTGTGCCGACATAAACTGACCAAGGCGGAATTTCTGTACATAAATGCTCAGTGAATTTAATATTTACACGCCTTTGTGATGAGACTGCTCCACAGATTTCCGTTGCAGCGTGATCGACTGCGTATCAACCGCTTGTAACCGCCTAAGGCCAAAGAACTCGCTGGCAGACTGGCACATTCGCGCCATCATGTAGCCCTAGAGCATTTTCGGTGCGGGTAAAACTATACTTCGTCTCACTAAAACCGTGCAGTACGGCCAAAGCTACAGGGGAGAAAGTATATTCCGACCTTTCCACGAGGAGGAAAAGGAGGAATGGGTGAATCCCAGCCCTTCTGTCCCGTTCCTCCTTTCCCTCCTCTTGAATAGGTTGGCATGCGCTCTCTCCCCTGTAGCCTTGGCTGTACTGCGCTGTTTTAGTGAGACTGAGTACAGACTGAACGCCTGCTGCATTTGCGAGAAAAAAAATCAATTGATTACCTGTAAGAAATGACCTCTGTAGAATTGTCACAATCATTTGAAGCTCGCAGGTGAAATATTGATGAGTAATAAATGCTTTGGTCCAAAAGGTTTCAGGGCTTTTAGGTAGGTGGCGTCGGTATGTTCCCCCCTCGTAGGCGGGCCAAAAGCGATTGCAACGCAGTCGATCTACTCAAACGCAAAGCTGTGAACCAGCTTTTAGGGCGATAGGGTCGTGTCATTTCTGTGGCAGGATGCGCGCCCTTGCTCAGAAGTTGTAAAAATTATTTCCTCTGGCAGCGAATGCCAGGTGCTCGTTGTGCATGGAAAGAAGGAGTATCTAAACACATCCGTTCTACATTTATACTCTCGCACTTTTTTCGAGTGATCACGCCTTCCTGATGAGTAGTGGGCAGGCAGCATGTACTTAGATTTGTCAATGCCGAGATAACTATGAAAAATGCTGTTGTAAAATTTTAGCCGCATAGACCGCCTTCTCTGGAATAATGAAATTAAATAAAGTTCTATTTTTAGTTGAGTCTTACTTGGTCCAAAGTTATGATTACCCGATATAACACGAGCTGCTCTGTTTTGAACTGCCTCTAGCTGGTAGACAAGCTAGGCCTGGTGGCATTTCCAGGAGAGACAGGCATACTCTAAAATTGGTCTAATATAGGTTAGATATAGTGTTCGTTTGGTAAACTTGGGACAATATTTAAAGTTACGTCTAATAGAGTTCAGCATTCTGGTCGCTTTTGTGGATGTGTAGTCCACGTGTTTGGCCCACGAAAGCTTTTCTGTAAAATATACACCGAGGTGTTTGAATTCAGAAACAGTTGGTAAAGAAATTTCGCTGATAACGTATTTGAAGGCGACAGGCTGTCTCTTGCGCGTGAAACATACATGACTGCACTTGGTTATGTTCAAAATCATTCCGAATTGTTCACACCAGGCGGAGATACGACAGATATCTTTCTGCAAAGCCAAGCAATCTGACGTGCAGGAGCTATCTGCAATTGTGCAGATTGTTCCTGCACGAATCGGGTTTTTCAACCAAACAGATTTTTGTGGGTGGTCAATCTCTAAATTTCTTCCGCAGATCACGAATACTATGTCAAGAATAAGTGGTATGCACATTGTTATAGAGCATAATTTGCTTAATTCCTGGCCAAGTTATGCCTGTCTGGTATGCCCCTGAAAGGTCTACGCTAGTAACACAGGCTTCAGTTACATCTGATTTATTTGCGGGCATATGTACAACATTGGGCAATACATCCTTGTGTTATTGGTACCTTGGACAACACTTTAACGTGCGCACTACTCTCATGAAAATGTGAAACCACTGGGAAGCGCAACTAAGCTTTCTTAGTTTTTGTCATCAAGCATTGACAAGGAGCTCTAGTAAAAACCGTCAGGCTCCATTGGATACAACCAATTAGTGATCTATTATGTAGTTACCTTGACAGTGTACTACGGTTTCCCGTAGTACACAACTTTCCGTTCATTTGGTTACAATGAATGCCATCGATTTCACATATATTCGTTAATGTTTCACCAGAAATAAATAAGAACAAACTACGTATGTGCAAAAGTGAGCGTTTATAGAGTTGTCTATTGATTTCACGTATACACTTGCACCCACGCCCCCGTCAACGTTTTTGTACGCAGGTTATAACGAGGATCTTTATGATGTGTGCAACGCTGCTAGACCTAAACCAGGCTATTGCAGCGGGCGCACACGCAAGTATACTTTCAACATATACCTGAAGCAATGCCAACCCGTTTATGTCTGCGGCTCTTCTGGCACTAAGAATACCTTCGACACTAAACAACAATGCCAGCAAACCTGTCCGATTGGTAGGTATCAAATCCTACAAACTTTTGCTTCCCCCAAGAAAATTTAACAGTGGCAACATGTCTGCCTTAAAACATCTGACAAAATTATTTTTTCAAAACTCGACTAAAATAATGGTTTATAGCCAAACAATGGGAACATAAAATTATCCCTGCCTTTTACACATAACAAAATGAACTAACGCTAACTGCCTTGGCAACGCTCAAGCGCAAACAAACAGAGACCAGAGAATTTGTTTTTTTTAAGAACCAAGGCTCAAAACAACTTACTGAACAATCTACTGCATATGACTATTCCAAATAACTGCTCAAAAACATATAACGCTTTACACTGTTTAAAATAACTATACGAAATAATTTACTGCCTAAACGCAAAACTGTAAAAATATATATAAAAAAATTCTGAGGGCACGCACTTCTTATGAGTTGTGAATGCGAAAGCATGAATGTCGTTGTTCCGCGCCCTTAGCTCGTCCCCGGCGTAGTGGCGTGGACGGCCACGCTTCGTATACTGCCGAGGTTGCGGCCCACGGCCGAGCGCGCGCTCTTGCAAAGTGGCCGCGCCGCGCTGAGCTCGGCCGTGGAGCCTATCCGGGATGTACCTAGGCGGGCTCTGCCAAAACCTAGACCTAGACCGAAGGCCTTCGCATGGTCTCCTCTGGGCCCGAGCCCGACATTCGACGCGCTGATTGGACACGAGCCCCGGCCGAAGACTGACGTAGCACTCCTGTCCAAATCTCACGCCTCGATCGATCTGACTCTGATGACGGGTGCGGAGGCCTTCTGTCTAGGTGGTGTTGGTTCTGCGGCCAGCCTCTCACCGGCGGCAGGGCCGCTGCGCCGCCATGGAGCTCTGCGGGGTGGCGTTCCTTGGAACTACGCCGCGCAGCAGACAATGGGAGCCTACCCATCAAATCGCGGCTACGGACGACAGGCTTCGCTTCATTGGAACAGGGGATTTTAGGTACCGTTCGTCGCGGCTTCAAAAGTCGATGACGCCCTTTCGCTCCATGGGATAGTTAATGCTTTCGCATTCAATCAAATAAAACTTAATATTTCTCAAAGAGAAGCGTTCGAAAGAACTTACCTTTTTCTGCGAGCGCTTACTATTGACTGTTTGACAGCCAGTGAGACTAGTGCCATCGTAAGGCTACGCTATTATTAATCGTATCGACAAGCACCACAGCGCTCTCTATTCATGCATTTCTGTAATATAGATTATAAATTAAACTGAAATTTTTTCCAATTTAATATTAACTGCGACATTTTTAGCTTCCAAACCTTCTAGATTTTGTCTTAGATGCTCATATATGTATAAAACATGAAGGTTGTACATGCGAAAAGGAGTGACACGGGAATTTTCGACAATAATCAAAGCCTTAACGAAATGTTGACTGCCCCTCCCATGTCTCTATAAGGTTTCTGTTTTAGTCAAATACTTATTTAGTTTTAAGACTCTATGCTTCTTTTTTTAACTGTCATAAAATCTTTATCCTCGTTTTCCAATTCCACACCTTGTTTGAACTAAAAGTACAAGTCTCGGTCAATTTCCTACGCAAATGTAAAAAAATGAAGTTTGATATTTTGATCAATTCATGATTTGTAATATATAGCGTTTATTACATTCATAAAAGACGTGCTTTTAATAGGCATATTGACTAATGCCCGATATAATTATGCCAATTTAACATGTTGTTGTAAACTTCAACGTGCAACGCACATACTCGTTTCTAATACGTTAGTCGTGGTGTAAATAATCAAGATTATTAGCAAATTCAACATGGTGCTAGACGTTGTTGACCACTGGATACGAGGCGCTAGGAGAGTAGGAGGTTATTTACAATATTTACAAATGGTGCATGCAGGTGCAGCCGAGTCACGAGTGCGCGGATGTTCTTCGTTTTTCATGTCGACTAATGAATGACGCGGGCGTTTACAATAATATGGGCCTTGAGAGCAGTGGCGACAACTGCCATCCGGACCTAACAAAATACTTGAGATTTGTATTTGTTTTGTAGTTGTTTTTAGAACGCAGCTCTTAGACGCCCGTTTCCGGCTTGAGCGGCGTCTGCGTCGCCGTCGGCGTCGGCGCAACCGCGGAAGTTTAGCGGAAAAATTTTCACGCTAAATCTAGCGGACAGTTTTCACGCTAAATCGAGCGGAAAATTTTCCCGCTAAATCTAGCGGAAAACTTTCCCCGATAAATTTAGCGGAAAAAATTTCCCTACTAAATTCAGTGGAAAAGTTTGCCCGCTAAATTTAGTGAAAAACATTCCCAGCTAAATTTAGAGGAAAAAGTTCCCCGTTAAGTCTAGCGGAAAGTGTCCCCCGCTATATCTGCGGGGAATTTTTTCCGCTAAATTTAGCAGAAAATTTTCCCCTAGATGGGGGCAAGCCAGAGAAGAGGAGGGGCCTAGCCCGCTCTACGTACCTTCCCCTCCTCCTCCTCAAGAGCTGCGCTCTAATTCGGCGTTATAGAGAGTTGTGAACGGATTTCATTTTTTTCTTCTGATCATTCACAGTGTCTATCTTCCTCCAGATCAGTTCTGCACTATTGGAAGAGCATCCACTTGGTGCAGCGCTGACGCTAAAATAATAACTACGTGGCATCTGCTCCACCTCACCAACAAATGCGTTTATACCACCGGCTGCGCTTTCATGGCGGCCGATTTTCGAACAAAGAGGGAATGCCAAGCGGCCTGCAGAAAACGTAAAATACGATTGAGCCTTTTATGCACGGACTCGTGTGTTCGGCAACCTGTTAGGCACATATCGACTCGCGCACAGTCTCCACCAGCAAAAAAAAGATCTAATCGGAGGGCGTGGCAGAGACGGCGGCAGGCGGGGGCGCTGATCGCGCTTGTGGCATTTCCATATCGCAGCGAGTGAAAGGATGGATCTTCTTCGTCAGTGAGCGCTGTTTTAGTTTGGCTATTGCCTCATTTCATTTCTTTCTCCTCGGACTAATACAGAATTGTCGGTAATGCGCATCGCACACCCGCCAGTCACTGTCTTCGAGTGGGTCTTTCATATTGGTGGAAACTGTCTATGTCTGCGCGTGCTGTGCGCGTGTGTGCGCGTGTGCCTGCGCGCGCGCGCATGCTTATGGCTGCATGGTAGTGCCCGCGTGCCTCGTGCGTAAGTGCGTGCGTGCGCGCGTGTGTGTGTTTTTGCGTGGGCTCTTTCTCGCGTGAGTTCAAGTGTATGGTTCGGGCGCGGCAAGCCGCCCCCAACCACCTCTGTTTCCGAACTAGACGACCGGGTTTAGCAGTATTTGCAAAATCAAATATACCTCGCCATCTTCAGGAAATGGCAACCTTATAGCACTGTCCGATATAATTTCCTCTCACGATAAAAGAATGATAAGTAAAAAACTGGGAGAGATCCGTGAACCGAAAGTGAGTGGGGGCTACACAATAGATGGCGCCTCTGAGTTTGTTGCCAAACAAAACGGGCAAATATGCTGATATAATCGCACTCGAATTCATAGCTGATTACGTGCCAGACAGGTCAAAGTTCCAGACAATTCTATACTTTATAAATTGATAATATTATTTATTTGCGACAAGTAGACGTACCTTAGGTTGCTCGCACGGTTAGCGACGTTCACTAACAAAAACATCGCCCTGGTCGGAATTCGCATTTGGCCGAACGTTGACTGTGACGTCTTTATCTGGACCGATTTCTATTTCAGGAACAAAAATCAGCGCAACGTGTAAGTGTAAACTTTGACGACGTCAACTTAAGGTTGTGATGACTCCAATGTTATAACACGACTTTTAATCGAGCTCGTTGGTTCACACTTGGAATTAATAAAATACATAGCGCAAACTGAACAATGACGATGGGGCACACATACTACAGGACTGCTATTGTTACAGATACCGTCAAACTTGTAGTTCAAAACTGATGATAATTAGTCAAATATTACATCTTCTAATGTCACGGCGAGGAACAGTCTAGTCGTAACGTCATGAGGAGAGATCATAAGAGGGCGCCACCGAACCACCCCGGCCCTAATGCTCCGTTTCACTTTAAGTGCGAACGCAGTCGACGCTGCAGTCAAATCGAGTCAATGAAACAGCGCCAAAGGTTCCTTCTCAGGTCGCCCATCGTTTTTGTACGTCGTCCATCGCCGGTTAAACCAATCGCGCATACTGAATGTACCACGATTCTGCGGGTCTTTCACCAGAAATCGAGGAACCAGTTTTTTTGTTGTTTTTTTTAGGACGCGGTAACGCGCCCTGAGAGACGCGTGTTAGGCACCGTGCCTGAAGTGATTTACGTGTCCTGCCACTGAACGTCATTCGTGCAAACCAGAAAGACTAATCATAAATGATATAACATATATGTTGCGTGAGGACCTTCCGATGATCCATGGGGCGCATGTTTTAGATTTCGGTTAACTATCGAATACAAGCTATTCAAGTAAATATGATAGAAAAGTGAACAGACAAAAAAATGTGGGCACTGACGAAAAAATTTAAAAAATGTTCGACAAATATATCTTAATGAAGTGAAATGTTCCATCTAATATTGCAGACACCGTGTGTTATCAGCCAAGCAACGAAGGAGAACCCCCTAAAAGAGCAAGAAGCGTTTGGCATTTCAGTCCTGAAGACCAACGTTGTATTCGCACTACAAATTCTGAAAGAAATGGAAGCACCTTTCGCCCTGCATATTATGACAGAAGTGGAAACAACTTTAAAAGTGAAAAGGAATGCATGGAAACCTGTCCCTACGGTAAACATTAAGTTTTAAACATTTATTGTTAATATTCGAGAAGAAAAAAACAACTACATTGCTTTAGTAAAAACATGTATAAACCCCTGCAACTCCCTGCTACCTCAAAAATCAGTAAAATCACTCATCCAACTCTTCGAGGGGATATTTAAAATGTGTCGTTTTCTCTCAGAGAGGGGAATGCCAGGTCAAAGATACTACCGCGATTCGCGCGAGGCAGATCTCCGATCATTTGAAATCTAAGCGTTCAAGCTATTCCTTTTTTTATTATTTTTTTACTATCGGAATTGAATTCATTATGTGGAGATGTTCAGATAAAAACTGCTAGGTCATATTATAAGCTTTACGATGCGTAATTGAAATCCAGCAGCAATCAAAAACAAAGACTAAAGAAAGCTACAGAGCGCCACCAGACGCCCGAGAACGCGCTCAGGCATTAAAGCACACCATGCGAGGGCTCACCACCAGTTCAGCTCCCAACATAGAGAGCCTATAGATTTAAGACAGGGAGCAACTATAATTACCAAGAGCATTTACTATTTAAAGGCGGACGCCTTCTTCGCAGATCGGTCGCCAGGTATTGCCTTCTCGCGTGGCGAGGATGAAAGGGGGCGGAGACGCCTAGACGCCATCAACGCTTTCGTCGTCTCGTCGCAGCTCGCATTGTAAACGCGGCTCGTAAACCACGCCACCCCGATCGAGATGTTGAAAACACGCTGAAATCTAAACACGCTAGTCCGACACGAGAGCGCTAACGGCGCCAATGGGTACTTTCGGTAGCTTCTAATGTTGCTAACGAAGTTGCTTTTCAGTTACATAACTGTGCGTAAAAAAAGGGAAACCGCACAGCTACGGAGAAACATTTTAGCGAAATATTTTGCATTTCTTCGTGTTAAGGTGATCGTTGATACGCTGCTCTAATCTGCTTTGCTAACATTTAACGTTTCAGAGGCACAAATAGTCAACGCCTCGGCGCAAACACTACGTGTGATCTGATCGCATAGTTTCACCGTGTCTGTAGGGACACCTTTTAAGGAGAATTAACGGTGCGTGACATTTTCTACGGTGCGAAATAAACATTGTTACTTTTTTACACACAGGAGGACGTTTACAGGAATGCAGACTCCCTAAAAATGAAGGCACCTACTGTCTCGGAAAAGGCAAACCTTCCTTCCGGTATTACCACGACACTAAAAGTGGCAGGTGCAGTCGTTTCTTGTATAAGGGCTGCCAGAAAAACGCCAATAACTACCTAACAAAGCGTGGGTGTCAAGCAACTTGTCAGGCTTTAAGGTAAGCTTTACTTCAAGATATTTAAGCTATTAAAATATAACCTGCCGTTTTTCAGTGAACTCCCGTAGACGAATCTTTATATACGTGCAAGACACACACACAAAAAATATACGGTTTATTATCCCTTTTATCTCAGATGTGCACCATGTTTTTCAGAGCATTGCAATATCAACGGAATTATATGGTGTCTATCATGATCTGTCTCATCCGCCAATAAGAGTATTGAATTCAAGTGCGCGAAAAGCAAAAGATCGTCAAACGATCGCGGACACTAACTGATGGATAATATTGACGAAATATATACATCGAGAAAAACTAAATATTTATTATGCGTCTGTGTCCAGGTACTTGCATTCATTATTTCCAATGTAAAGCTTTATTGAAATAAGGCTATATACAGTATACAGGGCGCTTCACCGTACTGACAATTATCTTAATCCGGAAAAGACAATTGAAGGAGAAATGTAATTTTTCTAGGATTACGTTATTCAACGCAACGGACGACAGATTAAGGAGTGCAAAGTGCCGAGCTAGTTATTTATACACCACTAACTAACTTTCCGTTAAACGTTTGCCTTGGCTGGCTTACTTCCTCCAATTAATGATATTCACTGCTCGTCGTCAAAGTATGCCATCGATGCTGCTATAATTTAGCCAGCTTTATTCTGCTTACGCTATCCTCTTGCATGATGTGAGCCGTGAGGAAACTCAGATACCGAAACTAGACGCAAAAACATGGACGGAATTCATACCCAGAAGTGACGTCCGTATTCGCCACGGGCGGCGGTAGCGAGCCGTTGCAATCCAACCTGCAATGATGCGTCATGTGGTCGTAGCTCTCAAGCCTTTATTTTATTTTTTATTTTTGCAGCGACAGTTAAGCGTTCTTCCACCCACTTCGAAATTATGATGTAGGGTTTCGGTCGTTAATATCACCAAACGCTTGAAAAAAGAAAAAAAAAATACATACTGCGGTTTTCTGGGTATCCGATCTCGGGTACCTTGTTTTCGCAACGAGCGCGCGCCACCACAAGGCCACACAAGCGATGCTTTCACGGACCACGTAAGAAACCAAATGGGTTGAGGACAGCCGCACATATGAGTCTTGCGCATCGTCCGCTAGATCACCGCAGTTGTGGTGACGTCCGATCACGCCACTTGAGTCTCACGCTTTGAATTAGAGAAGATATTTATCTATTAAGCTTGGGCAGGTTTGCAACAGGACCAATGCAGAAACGTTTTGTACGGTTACATTCTGCACTGGTAATTGTTAAGTCCTATCCTTTCTATTCACGCCTAAGCTGACAAAATGTCTATCCGCTCTGTTCACGCCTAAAGGTCTCTTTATACTCCAACCTTGACGAACGCAATACGTGCCGGCACAGACCAACGCTTGTCGACCATTGCGCTACGTCACGCCGCGCCGAGAACCGTCGAACAACCATGTTTACAGTCCACCGCGGTCCAGCGCGCATCGACGAATGCCTCACTTCGAGCAGGCGCGTCCCCATGGCAACCGCATAGTCTCTACACCGTATTTCCGCTTCTTGGTCGGGAAACCCAAACATGCAATCATGCAAACGCTCGGTCAGAGCTCTGCTATCGATGTGGTTCGTCCATGCAATGTAGTCAAGCTTCAAAACAGCGATTCGGAACATTGGTTAGCAGTTCGAAAACAAGCAAATGATGGGGGATATCGAGTGCAAATCGTTTATTGTAGCGTGAGCTACACTGGCCGAGGTTGAGCAGTTTCGCGTGGCTCACATAACGAGCCGTGCTCCGTGCTGCGCATGCGCGAGGAGCAGTGACGTCGCACGCCGCACAGCTGGCGGGGCGGAGCCGCCGCCGCCGCGGGCTGCGCCGCCACCGCGCGCGCCTCGCCGGTCTGCGCAAGCGTGAGGAGCAGTGACGTCACACGGCGCACAGCTGGCGTGCCGGAGCCGCCGGCGCCGTGGGCTACTCCGCCACCGCGCGCGCCTCGCCGGTTTTCGCATTCCAGAGGAGTGACGTCATACCCGCGGCAGACCCGCGGGCGCCGCTGCGTGCCCAGCTGTGTGCCTCCGTTGCGCAGTAGCCAAGGCTGACGCTGCACAGGAGCCGCTTGATAGCGCCTCTGATTTTGTACGCATAAGCTCACGCTACGTATATCCTGGCATAGCCGAGCTAAGCCACCACAATTTTTGTTTTCTTCAAAATGTCACCACAAATGTTGACGAAAAAACAAAAAAGAAAATCTGAATGTCGCGTCCGTAGAAAATAGATGCTTGGCAAGTTCCCCGAGGTCGAGCCAAACGACTTCGGTGATTCCGCCGTGATGCTTGGATGAAATCTATGCACTCGATATCTCACGGCGACCTCTTTCTGACAGATTGCAAGTGTGTTATCATAGTAGACTTTCACGTTGACTGGAGTAACTGACACCGAAGAGAGCGGACGATGGCTAAATTATGCGATGTAGGTGTTTGAAATTATAGTGCTTCCCGGAGCCCATACAAAAAGGAACAGAATTCATTTGCATTTTCACCGTGCACGACTATCGCTTAAAAGCTGGGACACCCCAGTTGAAAATTTCTGGCCGACGAAGTATAGTTTAGATGTTTTACTGGATCCGCCTTTTCCGTGCATTTGACGGCGCTGTTTCGATCGGGAACGGCTGCCGGTGCGTGCGTCTATAGCATATGATCATATAAAGCAAGCACATTAGGTCCCGCTTAATTCTAACTAACCCTACCTTTGGCGCGTCATCGAGCTTCCAGCTTTGGCCGGTTCCCCAACTCCTCGGCCCAGCAGAACCGGCTCGTTCGGTCTATAGGCCTAACGAGACTCGGGTGTAGCCAGCGCTGACGAAGCGCATCCCCAGAGCAGGCCACGCCCACGCGCACACACACCCAATCGAGCTCACGAACGTTAAACACGCACACCAACACGGGCTCACGACAAAGGGACACGACACACGGCAAGAGCGGCAGTTTCAGGTCTTGGAACTGAGCGTCTTGCACACCCCGAACGGCCACGTCGGCCCCGACAACCGGATTCTCGGCTTCTGGGACAGCCACCGTCGTCGTCCTGCACGCGGTCGTCGACGACGCGAATAGAGCATATGCTCTATTCCGTTATCAGCTACGCCGAGTCGTGCTGGGAAAAGCTGCGCGTCACATTGCGCATGACGACGGAGTAGAGACCTTTCCGAAAAAAGGCTCCTGGCCGGTTCTCTTCTTCGGTGTTCGTGCGTATGACGCGTGATTTGCTCGCTTTCCGAAGCGACGAACATCCGCACGCTGGACTGAGGATTTGTAAATATTGGAATAGCGTTACCCGTTCGCAGCCAGCGTCGACCAACGCGATCGGACGCGTTCGTTCGTCGACGTAAACGACGGAGTGTAAACAGCCCTTAAGCTGACAATGTGGTTGGAGCCACGCGCTCGCCGGACAAATGAACCACCTCCCTTTCATCACCCAACCACGCAATTGGCGCGTGGGTATGGCCGGAGACCGTGATCAGGTGGCGGAAGACAGTTGCAACACTGGCCCAACGAGGGCGTACCTTCCACCTCACTGTCAGCTTAGCGGTGAACATCCTCATAGCGACGCTGAATAGTTCATAATTCTTGACTAACAAACATACAAGATGATTAACTTCATTCAAAAAAGTTTTTTTTTTTTTTTTAATTAGTTTAGAGTTAGACGGCTGCCGTCTTCACCGCGTATTTATCAGGCTCGGTGGACATTATATGAGGGAATAATCGTCAACCTAAGTTGACTAATTAACTCAAATTTGTTAATTAACTTTTTGTTATTTATTTCAGGGGTCATGGTGGAACCGCAGTCTTGAGATAATTACCGTTGGAGTACAAATCAATTTAAAGATTTTGCAAGAAGGTAATAATTTTTTTAGATATTATTACATTAATGTTCGCGTTTTTCCGCTCAATTTAATAATGGTGCGCAGATAGAGAACTTCAAGCGCTGCCCAGAATTACTTTTCGAATACTGATGCAGTCGTTTGGGCCATGTCATCACCTGCGTCGTTGAGGCACCAAGGATACGTTGCCGAGATATTGACGACCTGAATGAAACCACGACGTCATTCTTCCAGGCGTCGTTGTGGGCGCTCCATGGCTTATGACGCTCTTTTTAACGCAGTTTTTAAATTGGGAAAAGAAAACGCCAAAAATTGGTTGATTAATATATTTAAGAAAAAAACCTCATTTTTCGGATTTAGATATTTTTAATTAGTTTGGCCTTTAACAGTAATTACCGTCCTTTGTACAATTACAACATGACACCAAAGAACAAAAAACAAAAAGGTAATTTATAAATTTTCTTTAATTGGTGGACTTCAACCATGGCGATTATCCCCTCATCTTATCTCGACCGATTCTGATAAATATATGAAGACAGAACTCATCTAGCTTTTAACCCTATAAAAAAACATGAAAAAGGTTCTAACTTCGCTTTTAACACTGGAAAACGATAGCGTTATCGGGCCCCGTTAGCCAAGCCTTCTCATATAAACTCGCGCTCGTTCCCAAGGTGTGCAAGTGCATGTGCATGGTCTAGTCGGTAGCGTCACGTTTTACGTAATGTCATGTCACGTGACGTGTGATGTCACACGTTGCTGTGACGTAATGAATCTGTGGAACCGCTAAAATATCGGATAATTTTCCATTAAATGTGGCGTTAAAATTTCCCGCGTAGTTTTGCGTGAACATTTTCTGTTCAATTTAGCGGAAAACTTTTCCGACAAATTTACGGGGTCAATAGGGTGACGTTACGACCACGTGTGACGTCACACGTGGCTGCGCGCGTTTCATTATGGGATTTCTTGTCCCACCGACGCCGGAGTTTCTGCGACACGGGCTCCTAACCCTATTGCGTTAAAAAATATGCTCGAATTAAAATCCCACCTTGTATATGCCTCACGTCAGGTGGTATCCGTACTAGACGTGAAGAATTCCCGGCGTCTAAGCAACACAAATGGACCTGCACAGTTCAATACGGCCGCTTATTTAATACTAAAATAAACATAGTAGTCATTCTTGAACCATTTTTTCATTCTTTCTTACTTCAATTTCTCTTTTATTTCAGTATACCATAGGCAGCTGAACCTTCCACGTCTCTTTGGCGAAGCCTCTCGACTATAACGAAGATAATAAAATTTGCCAAATCGATTTACTAGGATCGTTGTCAAAAAATAAAATTTTTCGCTGCATAGCT